AGAAAGTAAAAGAAAATTACAGAATTTTTAGAACGTTCCAGAAACACTCGCCAGAGGGTATATAAAGGCCTGCGCTTGGCAACAATTAGAGTCTGAAGTTTGATAATAACAGTGGAAAACGGATTTTGTGAAGCACCGGATTAATACTGGTCATGCTCAGCCGATTCGACAACGTCCTAGAAGGGTGCCCCTTTCCAAACAACAAGAAATGGAGACAATGGTAGATAAGATGCTAGAAGATGGAGTTATCGAAGAATCATCGAGTCCATGGTCATCTCCTGTTGTTTTGGTGACGAAGAAAGATGGTAGTACACGATTCTGCGTGGACTATCGGAAGCTCAATGACGTCACTAAGAAGGACAGCTACCCACTGCCACGTATAGACGACACGTTAACCACACTGGCAGGTTCGTGCTGGTTCTCCACTCTCGACTTAAAGAGTGGATACTGGCAAGTTGGTCTGGACGAGGAAGACAAAGAAAAGACGGCTTTTTCTACAGGAAACGGACTATACCAATTCAAGGTCATGCCGTTTGGATTATGCAATGCTCCAGCCACTTTCGAACGTCTCATGGAGGTGGTGTTAAGAGGATTAACTTGGAAAACGTGCTTGGTTTACCTCGACGATGTATTGGTTATGGGAAGAACTTTTGAGGAGCATTTGCGAAATTTAGAAGAAGTCTTTGGCCGCATACGGAATGCTCACCTGTACTTGAACCCGAAGAAGTGTAGCTTATTCCAGCGACAAGTGGAATTCTTGGGTCATGTAGTCTCGGCAGACGGAATTTACACCGACCAGAAGAAAATCGCTGCGATCAAGGATTGGCCTAAACCTCGCGACAAACATGAACTTAGAGTTTTCTGGGTTTATGCACCTATTACAGAAGATTTGTCAAGGGATTTGCCAATATAGCTGCACCCTTACATAGACTTACAGGTGATGAAGTCGGCTACGAATGGAACACCGATTGTGATGTAGCCTTTGGAAGACTTAAGGCGGCTTTATGTTCAAGTCCTATTCTAGCCTACCCGCAACAACAAGGGAGGTATATCCTGGATACCGACGCCAGCAATATCGGCATAGGTGCAGTGCTATCACAAGTGCAAGATGGCGAAGAACGAGTGATAGAATATTACAGTCGAGTTCTATCCAAACCAGAAAGGAATTACTGCGTTACCCGGAAGGAGCTGCTAGCAATTGTGAAGGCAGTTGATCATTTTCATAAATATCTGTACGGCCAAGAATTTTTAATTAGGACAGATCATGCGGCTCTCAAGTGGCTTATGGAGATGAAACAACCTGAAGGTCAAATAGCACGATGGCTCGAGAAGCTCCAGCAGTATCACTTTACCATCCAACATCGTGCTGGAAAGATGCATGGTAACGCAGACGGTTTATCCAGAAGACCCTGTCAAACTGATTGTAAGCACTGCTGTAAAACGGAACAACGTGAAGGCACTGTCATCATAAGGAGTTTTTGCTTGGAACCGATGAACAGTGGACGACGACACAATTGAGGAAAGATCAAATGAGAGGTCGAAAGTAAGAGTGGGATAAAATTTTGTTCAAAGCAAAAGTGGGCTTAAATTTTCTCTAAGATCAAAAATAGCATATACATCACAACTTTGGGCAAAGTGAATCGAATATTAATCAGCGCAAAAATGATTCGACAAAATATTCAGGGCAAAAAGCTATAAATATATAACGTTTCTGCGCTAAAAATAATACGTAGATTGATAGACGGATAAGAAAATGGTTCTTTTACCTCTGCGCTGCCGGCTGGCTTATGTACTACTCAGAGGGATCGTTTTATAATCTATTGGTATTGAGTGCTGTTTCATTATGGAGCGGACGTGCGGACCATCGTGGACCATTGTGTGTATTTTTAAGAATTGACGGAGTACTCACCTGTAGATCGCGTTCATTAAGCGAACAAATACCATGAGTATTGAATGTATGAATACTTTTCACATGGCGCGGATGATCCGTCGATATCGCCAAGGGATCGACGGATCGGCTGTTGGACGAAATCATGCGGGCGGACCATCCGCGCCCATGTCAAAATACTCATACAAGCTCATAGTACCTCTTCAATAAACGGACGGTCCGCGCGACGCCGGACGGCCCGCTCCATGTGAAACGGCACAACAGGGACGACCAGCGCGGACGGTTTGAGCAGAATGTCCGCCCGTGTAAAACTGCACTTCATACTAAATTTTATTTCGTGTTTTGCACCTATTTTAGTGTGTTGTTTATCTTTCTTGTCTATGGTGTTGTTCAGTATGGCAAAGCATTCTAGCAGAGCTGCAAGCTCACAGAAAACTTAAGTCTTTTTTGACTTAAATCATTTTAGTGACTTAAGTCATTTGATTTTAAGTCGATAAATCAAATGACTTAAGTCATTTCATTTATTTCGAAAGATGACTTAAAATACTTAAATCTTTTTTAACGACTTAAGTTATTTTAAAAAGATTTAAATCTTTTAAAAGATACAATATGACCGAAAGAACGGCGTCAGATGACTATGAAATATGAAGTTCGCTGTCATTTTATATGTAAAATTATATGGGGAATGTCATTGATGTTTATTTCAAGCCAACTGGATGCCGTTTTTTTTTTATCATACGGTATATACCTATTGATATAGTAATTATTTATATTTTTTTGCTTCACTACTTGCTGTACTGTTGTTTATATAATTTTTTGTGTTTCCACACACATTTTTTTATACCTATAAGATAATGAGTTTGATATTACAAAACACAGTATTTTAGTTATAGGAAAATATAGAAGCCCTAACGGCTCGAAATTTTCAAAGTGAAGAATATAATTATACAAAATTATTTCCATTGTCTAGATGTGCACTTCCGAATATAACTTGTTTAGTTTATATCTGGTCGGCACCTTTTTGACTTCGGCACGCGCTTTGATATCACACACACGACCGCCGCCGCCGATGCCATTTGAAGAAAAATATATTTCATAGAAAAATTAAATTACTCCCTCTTTTTATGCGATTTTTCGAAAAGAAAATGCGGACTGGGACCATATTACGTATTTGGGCATTGATTGTGTCCGCACGTGTAATACGGAAGAATATAATATTTTTATTTGTTTAATATTTTTTTGAATTTTGTTTTATTTTTTATTTAATATAATTTATTTACGAATTTGTATTTTGAAAAAATAAATTCAGTGTTCAGTGACTTTAAGGATAATAGATAAGTAAGTACACTTAATTTCCTCATTTCATTAGTAGAGTAAAAATAAAATAAATTTGTATGTATAAGGTCTGTTTTAAGTAGCAAGAAATGACTTAAGACTTAAATCTTTTTAAAACTGATTTGTTGCAGTTCTGGCATCTAGATCTGTTGCAGTTCTGGGTCTAGACCTAGACTTCGTCATGGAGGCCACCGAGGAAGGTAATATAATTACATTTTACCCTTATAATATAAATTCTTTTATATTTATATTCTAACAAGGAGTTTACTATAATACACATACCGGGTAGTGCATCGTCGTTTGCTCCCCTGTTTTTTTTACAGCAAAGTCGTAAATAAATTATTTAATTTATTTTATTTTATTTTCAAAGTCGTAAATAAATTTTTAAATTACTTAATTAAAATTTAATTAAGTAATTTAAAAAAGATTGCATATATTTTTATATTAAAACCGAACTGGTAACAATCAAACACCAGTCAAAAATTGACATACGTTAGGTTTACAAACTATAATTTTGTCATTATCAAAAGTAATTTAATTTTAATAAAATTTTAATATTCAGGGGAAATTAACCGAAACATGTCAGATACACTGTCTAAGCTATTTCCCGCGTAGTACTATTTTTTATCATGCTTACTTTTTCTTTAAGTGTAATAAATTATTACTAGTACTGAATATTAGAATTTAGTTGTTTGAAAATGACAGTGGCAACTTAAGGTACCTATGTCGATTCGATCGACCTTTTGAATGTTGGTGTTTGATTGTTACCTGTTCAGTTTTAATTTAAAAATAGATGCAGTTTTTCTTAAATTACTAAAAATCGGCTTGTCCAAAATGGTTTAAATTTAGCACGTGTGTTTACCAATCGTAAACCTTTAAAAAATCTATTTACTACTTTGCTATAAAATCAATAGGGGAGCCAATATTTGAACAGTTCAAAATTTGCATGGGATTTCCTCTTTCCAGCGAGGATGCACCACCCGGTATATAGAGGGTGTGCCGAATCGCGTAGAGATATTATCTTCAACAGCATATTTTATGGCTAAATATAATATTTTTTCATAGGAATGATAGTTCAGTAAGTACGGCTTATTAAGGGAGCTATGCACCCCCCCCCCTAAAGGCGTCATCTTGTAGACGTTTTTTTCTTAAATGTTTTCTAAACTGTTTATAATAAAAATATAAAATTTTGCCAGATCAAGTAAGCTCTAAGTTCTGCAACTAGTGCTGTTAAGAGGATGAAAATATTTCTCACAGCGGCGCGGTGCCGCAGCTGAGTAGTGGAAAGGGAATAATTAACTTGACTTTTTTTACGACAATTTTCATGCAAAATTACTACATAAAGGTACCTTTTTATGTAGTAATTGTATAAAGTTTATTAAAACTTGCCTTAATGAGCTGTACTGGAGTATCATCATTCATACAAAAAATATTATTATTTTTAGTCATTAAATGGCTAAACAAATGGCTATGCCGTTAAATTGTTTGCGAAATTCGAGACACCTTGTATACAGGGTGTCCCAGAAATAAGTGCAAGTATTTTAAGGAGTGGTTGATCTGGTGAAAAGAAACATTTTTTCTCTTTTAAGTCCAAAATAACCGACATATTGACTTTGAAAATTTAAACAAAAAATTCTTTTTTTGTTTAAATGGACCACTGGATCTTTTCTGGATTTTCTTTTATGTAAATTTAATCTACTGCCTATGTTGCCATATTATCAAGAAATTATATTTTTACTTAAAACTAAAAAAAATTTCAAAGTTTTTAAAAAAAAATTTAAATTTAAAAAAACCATTTTCGCAGTTACCAGTTACAATACTTATTTCTGGGACATCCTGTATAGGTTATGACATTTTTTGGGTTACTTTAAATTTTACATTTTTTGTTTGCTACTATTTTTTTGTACAAGTTAAATTATAAGTTAGCAAGTTTTGCATAATTTTTTTGCTTTCAAAACTTTCATAACAAGAAATGAATAATATTTGGAATTTTTTATCGTCACAATAAATTCTCATATTTCTCAAAATCTTGTGCCAAAATTCAGAATTCAACAATATCAAGTGCACTTTATTTCAAATGACCTCGTACACGATGATAAATATAAATTATTATATTGAAAAGGAATTTTTTGTAGGAATGGATCAGGATTACCATCCATCTGATCGCGACATAGGCCCGGAAATAAGTGACATTGATGGTGAAAACGATGAAGGTATCTCAATTATTGTCTATTAATACTATCTAATATGTACTTACTTGTATTTAGAATAATTGCCATGAATTTTGATAAAAAGTAACGAACTTTGAAAAAAATCGAAAAGAAATGAATTTTTGTCATTTTTTATTTGAAGGCGATATTCACCGATTACATAATATCTTTCTTTTGTTTTAATTTTGGCATGCGTTGTTCCAGGTCTCTATTTATGTAATACCGTATGATCGAAAAAAAATGGCGTCAGGAGTGGCTATGAAATGAAGATCCTTTTCATTTTATATGCAAAATTATATGGGGAATGTTATCGATGCTCATTTCCAAGCCAACTGGATACTGTTTTTCTTTCGATTATACGGTACATGTATGTACAACAAACGCAATCGTAATTTCTCCGATAAAACAGAGGATATAAAAATTAAAAATTGTTTTTTATTCTTGATCTCGTTTTTTCTAATTACTTAAAGCTTTTTAAACAAAAAAGAACGAAGAAAAATTTGTAAATGATAAAATTGGTCTTTTAACTTTATACTATTGTGTTATAATTAATTTAAATGATCTGCTCTAATTACAAATTTACGGTCATAGTGTACTGTATTTAAATTTAAGTATTCGCTTTCTGTTTTAGAAAAACCGCAACCAGTGAAAAAGGTCTCTCGAAAAAGGCAAAGACAACCGCAACTCCATAAGAAGAGCATAGCCAAGGAGAACGTTGAAAGAGGACGTGAAAGAGCAACTCTTAAAAAGATCATTCCTGCTAAAATATTTCAAGGTCAAACGTTGTGCAAATGCAAACCTCTTTGTTCTTCGAAAATTGATATTACCCGACAAAATACAATCTTTAACAGCTATTGGAATATTGCAAACCACTCGCAAAAGATTGCATTAATCAGAAATTCTGTGGATGTTCGCCCTGTTCGTCCAAAAAGTGATCAATTTTTACCACTTATTCCGAAAAAAAACCGTAAAGTCACTTTTCAATATCATTTGGCAGACAGCAATGGCATCCCACATAAAGTTTGCAGGGATTTCCTGCAAAATTGTTACCAAATTAGTTCTTCAACGTTGAATAGGTTTGTCACTTCAACAACATCAAACCCCAGTGGCGAAGAAAGAAGAGGGAAATCGAGTTCCGCAAATCGAACCAGCGATGAAGCAAGAAATATAGTTCGAGCTTTTATAAACAAATTTCCAGCATACGAGTCGCACTATGGGAGGTCTTCATCGCAAAAAAAGTACTTGCATATGGATCTCAGCGTTGCTGCAATGTACAGGATGTACTTAAAGCAATTCGAGGATGTACAACATAAGAAGCCTGTATCTGAAAATATTTTTCGTGAAATTTTCAATCATGACTTCAACTTGAGCTTCAAAAAACGCCATTCAGATACCTGTAATGCTTGCAATACGTTTAAGGCAAACAAAGACAACCAAAATCTGTCAGAAGAAGAAAGGAGAACACTCACAGAGTCCAAAGAAGCGCATGATGCCCTTAGAGAACAGATTTTCAAAGAATTCAAGCAAAACGTAAATCAAACCTCCGAAGACACCATTGTCTTGACGTTTGACCTCCAAAAAGTGTTAGATACACCCTCTTTGTCAGACAACGTTGCTTATTATAAACGACAACTTGCAACATACAATCTTTGCATTGTTGACGAAAAAACACACAAAGGTAAATGATTATAAATTCAATCACAGGTTCTATCACTAAAAAAATAATAAATAACATAAAATAATCGATTATGTAAATAAATATACCGGGTGCGCCTCAAAAGTGGCTCACCCCCTATAACTTTTTTATTCTTTCAGATACAAAAACGAGATTTGGTATGTTAATATATGACATAAATTAGGATTGATTGACGTATTCAATTGTTTTTGTTCACTTCCTGTTTCACCGGAAATGACTACAACTTTTCATCTTTAAATGGCACCCTCGGTATTTTTTTACTTTATTCGATAGAAAATGACATTTTGAATAGAAAAACATATCATATGTCAAAAAATGTCTATACCTATGTGGCGGATTCATCTCTCCAAAAAAATCCTGTTTGGGTATTTCGCCACTCACTGCAAGAAAAATCTAAAAAATAAAAAAGTTATTTTTTGTAAACACTACTGGCGTTAATGGATAGGACGCTTTTTGTCAGTAGTTGAGTTTACAGTAACACAAATTTGCCTAACGAACAAAAAAAATGCTTAACGTTTCGGAAAGTTTTTTTTTTAATCATATGTCAACTTTTGACATTATCGCTTAATAAAAAATCGTATTTTAAAATTCAATCTAGAGTGCCATGGCTATGTTAGACACATTAATTCTTAATCAAGGAGCCTTGGAAATATAGATTTGATCGTCTAATGTTTTTAGTGTCTTGTCCGAAAAGAAAAATACACAAATCGTATTTTTAATCATATCTCTTTTTTTATTTCGAAAAAGTATTTTTTTACGAATAATTTGATACCACACACTTGGTATTTCGAGTCAAATTTTCGTTACGAACCGCAAGTTATATTTTTAAATAAACCATATGCGAAATGCCAAAAGTTGACAATGATACGTCATTCTAATCAGAGTGTTATAAAGTAAAAAAATACCGAGGGTGCCATTTAAAAAATAAAAAGTTGTAGTCATTTCCGGTGAAACAGGAAGTGACCGAAAATAATTGAATACGTCAATCAATCCTAATTTATGTCATATACTAACATATAAAATCTTGTTTTTTTTAACTGAAAAAATAAAAAAGTTATAGGGGTGAGCCACTTTTGAGACGCACCCGGTATAATAAATTTAATTTAAATGTTTAGTATAAAAAATGTTTTTTTTGTTCCAGCTTACATGTATGTATGGTCAGAGAACGTAGCCTCCAGAGGAGCTCAAGAGATAGGATCATGTATCTTGAGACACTTGCGTACATCTATTCCAGAGGACGTACAATTCGTAAAGCTATATTCTGACTGCTGCGGAGGGCAAAACAGAAATATAAAATTGTCGTTGATGCTGAAACATTTTCTTGCGTCAAGTGATCTAAAGCTCATTGAGCACAATTTTTTCTTATCGGGTCACAGCTACAACAGTTGTGATCGCAACTTTGGTCTTATAGAACGCGAAAGGAAAAAATTCGATGATATTGAAACCCCGGAAAAGTGGATTCAAATTATACAGAATTCTAAAGTCAAAGAACCAAAGTTTCAGGTGACAAAAATGGAAAAAGAACACTTTTTCACATCCAAAGAATTGGAAAGCATGATTGTGAACAGAAAAACTGATGTTTTTAAGCAGAAAATAAACTGGTTGAAAATTAGACAAATTCGGCACGATAAAGAAAAATTGTTTGATCTTTGCCTCAAACACGATAACGATCAGGAATTACGTTGCGTGAACATTGCGCGAAAAGGAGTCAGCGAGGAACAATTCCAGAATTATGAGGTTTCCCTTCTATACCCTACGGGAAATGTTATAACTCAACAAAAATACGATGATTTGATGGCTCTGATCAAGTTGATTGATCCAAAATACAGACCATTTTATATAAAATTACGAACAACAAATGAAAACAAGGATTATGATTTTGCAAGCGGTGATAGCGACGACGAATAAATAAATGAAATAAAAAAAATTTTTTTTGTTATAAATATGCAACATGTATTTATATTCACTTGCTCTCATCAGTTATTTAGTCCAAGAAAATAGGTCTTTAAATACGAAGTTTTGGAAAAAGACTTGATTTTTTTATATAAATTACTTTGAAAGATCCAAAAACGAATTGTGAAAGATTTTTTTAAATTCGCCACCGAGAAGGGGGAAATAAATAAATAAAATTATTTTTTCGAAATTTCGGGGAAACGGTAAGAACTATAAAAATAACATTCAAATAAAAGTTGTGTTGTTCTAATTTTACATAGAAATGATTTCTATACTTTTTTTGCTCAGATCAAAATTAACCGAGATACGATGGCTAGAAGCTAGGGGATGATAGTAAAATTAAAAAAAAACACAAGTTGCTGAAAATTTCATATATTTAACATTTTCATTCAATTTGTTTGGAAAATATAAATTTCTAATAAGATTTTTGAAATTTACCCTGAGAAAGAGTGTAAAAATATACAAAAAGTGTTTTTTTTTAAATTTCAGAGAAATGGTAAGGACATTGAAAAAAAATGTTTCAATAAAAGTTGTCTCCTAGCTTCTAGCCACCCTATCTAGGTTAATTTTGATTTGAGCAAAAAGTATAAAGACCATTTTATGTAAAATTGAACGCTCTACAACTTTTATTTGAAATTTTTTCTAGTCCTTACTGTTTCTCCAAAATTACGAAGAAATAATTTTATTTAATAATTTTCACCCATTCTCTGGTGTGAATTTAAAAAATCTTTCACAATTCTGTTTTTAGATCTTCCAAAGTAACTTATATCAAAATTCAAGTTTTTCCCAAAACTTCGTATTTGAAGGCCTATTTTCTTGGACTATATTAAACATATTATGTCAATAAAAGTTAGAAAATATTCATACCGAACTAATTTTTTGCAATAACTCGTGAAAACATGCATATATAATATTTTTATACTTTTTATGGGGCGGAGTCACAACCCCCCCACCTACCCCCCCAGCTACAACGTTGTAAAAATCAATTCATAGAACTGATTTTATGCCCTTAGCAATTTAAATACACTAAAAAGAAAACAAATCTTTAAAATTTTTATTATGAACTTTTATAACGTCATTACATAATTTTATATTATATAAAAGCTTGTAGCGAGATTTGAGTGTACAGTTGTACGACAACTTTATCTTGTAATTCCTTTTCTAGTGGTGTATCATAAGACAAACTTTCAAAATGAGACAGGGTAGACACAGGTTTTAGATTGTCATGTATATTGTATATACTTAAAGTAAAGTTGTCGTACCAGATTTTTATGAGTGCAACTGTACACTCAAATCTCGCGACAAGATTTAATATAATATTAAAATTATGTAATGACGTTATAAAGTTCATAATAAAATTTTAAAAAGAAAAGTTTTTTTTTCTTTTTGTGTATTTAAATAAAAGCTTGTTTTTAAAAAAGTTCTTTTTCTTAAAATTTATTTTTTACTTTTTAGTTATGCTAGTTTTTCTTAAATAACTTTCTATGGGCATCCTAATAATATGTATATCGATTTTCATTAACAAAGGAGAACTTAAAAAAAAACGACAGCTGTCAAATTTGACAGTTCAAATGTGAGACAAATAAAACGAAAACCGACTATGGGGTAGGGGGCATCCAATATATCGATTTTTATCAAAATCGGACAACTTTGAAATTTTTTCAAATTTTTTCAATTCTGACAGCTGAATTTTTTTCTTCTTTCATTTTAGCCCATGGCCATCCTATATATATATATATATATATATATATATATATATATATATATATATATATATATATATATATATATATATATATATATATATATATATATATATATATATATATATATATATATATATATATATATATATATATATATATATATATATATATATATATATTATGTCGATTTTATCAAAATCGGTTCACTTCGAAATTTTGACATGTCATTAAACTGTCATTTTTTCAAGATAGCCGCCCACATATTTTTTTTCATATGTATATACCCACAATATACCTATATTATAATAAAATTTTTTATAATAGAATTTTAAAAAATCAAAAACCTCAAAAATGGCGCATTTTGGCCGCCATTTTAACAGCTGTCAAAAATTCTGGTCATGCCTTGTAAAAAAATGTATAATTTCCTACAATCAAAGGAAGTGGTTCTAATTTAGCTTACAAGATTTGCCCCGAACAAACATACATACAAAGCAAGTTAAATAAAAGCTTATAAAAAGTTGATTTTTACACTACTTGTTGCATATGGTGCAAATGTTATTTTTGTATAGAAAACTAGAGGAACATGAATAAACTGACTGGCAAATACGCAAACAGATTTTTTATCTAATAGTAAATTAACGATTTTTTTTCTTCGGACAAAAAAGGAATATTTTTAATCTTAGAGTAAAAGTGGCATATAATTATAACCCATTTTTACGGTAAAGTTTCTTTCTCTCATTTTTGCTCTCATTGCTACTTAAACCGCTTTTGCCCTCTGAAAAACGCAAACCGTTTTTGCCGAGAGTAAAATTTTAACCCACTTTTGCTATCAGCCTCTCATATATAACTGTCAATCAAACCCTAATTCGGTAACTAATGCTAATATGCTCGATATTTACGTTGCCGCAGAATAAGAAATTACAAAATAACCTCAAATAACATATGTTAGCCTAGAAATTATATTATTTACCAAATTGTTTTTAGATTTTAAAGAAATGGCGAATGCTCCAGGTTTGATAAAACAATCAATTAAATTCAAGAATTGTCCCTAAAATTACAATATTGAGCCCAAAATAAATAAAATTAAGAAAGAAATCTACGAGAATATAAATCTGCTTGCTGCCGGATTGTGATCTAAATAAACAAAAGGCTGTATTGAATCTGACCAATGGCGTTAAAGTTTTTTTTTAAACTGACCAATGGCAGTAAAGTTCGTGATTCGTTGCTATATGAACTTAGCTATACACGGAATTAAATTTTATTATATTCAATTTTATCAAACCATAGGTTTTGTTTATATCGCCTTTTCGAGAATTAGAAATTTTAAATTAGAAGTTACTGCAATTGTCTTAAAAAAAGAAATTCAAGGTTGTTCTATATTGCACTGGGATTTGTCCAACGCGACGCAACATAGGCCCGGTTGTACCAAAATAAATTGAACGAGAGTTCAACTGATCTGTTGGTCAAAGTTGAACTTGGATTGCGTTGCACCAACTCGCGTTCAGTAGAACGTCGATCAATATTTAGTTTCTTATGTTGGTATTAAATTTCACAGTAACTTTTGGAGTTTTTATATAAGTTGGCGTAAATGCTTTTAAAAGTTTGTTTTATTGATTGGCGGGTTCTCCCAAAATATAAATTATGGTACCTTTTTTCCTTTCTGTTGCCATAAAATACGACTTTTTAATACCTGTTCGCGGCTGACCGATTCGTTCATTTACTTTTTAGACGTTCTTATTTTTTATATTATATTATTATATAAAGTGAAATCTATATTTAGAGGGTATGTAAGGGGTTTAACAAAAAAATTAACAGATTGGAGTAGTTCAAAAATTGAACTCGCTGAGCTTCAAAAGAAATGTTTCCTAGAGCAGCACAATTTAAAAATGTCTCAAATGCAAGAAAAGCATGAAGCCTTTATGAGGCAGCAAGAAAGGGAGCATGATGAGAGAATTCAATTTTTAAAATTTAGCAAGGAACTAATAAAAAAAATAATTGACCAATAAATACTCTGTAAATATATAATTATTAAAAAATATCATATAAACACTTAACACACAATATATATGAATTTTGAAAATATGCATACATATTATATCGTTTTATTTCTTTTACATATTACATATCTAGTACAAACAAGTATACTGAATTGTATTAATTTAATATCATTTATTAATTATTGTTATTTAATTATCTACTTATAATCAGAATTATCAAAAATATAAAAATAATCCTATACATACAATAAAAAATATTAATATTATATACATAAATCAAAATATATACAAGAGTATGTAATGGTAATTTATTTTACGGTAATTATAATCACAATTTAATTAATTAACAAGTTATTTTGACTTTAAAACATTAAGACATTTTAAGAATGTTTTAGTAAAATAATATTGAAACATTTTCTAGACGTAAATAATTAGTTCTAGATGTAAATAATTAATACTCAGCAATATATTCTATATCGTAAAATAACATATTTACAGTGATTCAAAATATTCATTAATTAAACTATATCTAAAACTATTATTTATATCACCCAAGTCATTTGGAACATGTTCTCTTATATTATTTCCAATGTTTATTTCCGCTTTGACTTCCGTCAATTTCATCAGTTACTAATGGTGTTGGATCTGCAAAATGACACGCTATGTTATGAAGAACAGTAGCGGAAACCACTATTGCTTCTACTTTATCAACATTTAAACGGATTCCTGTCGCTAATATAGGAAATCTTCTTTTTAGTACACCAAAACACCTTTCTATTGGGTTTCTTGTTCTTATCTGAGCTTCGTTAAATAAGTTTTCAGCCCTCGTTGTTGGATTGGCCAAAGGGGTTATTAGGTATGGTTTTACTCCATACCCACTGTCCCCTAGTAATAAATTATTTCCATATACTCCATTTTCAAACTCAGCCTTTACTCTAGAATTTCTAAAAATCATTGAACCATGTATAGAACCAGGCCATCTACACACAATGTTAGATATTTTCAAATCGCTGTCACAAATTCAGGCTGATATCAGGCTGCTTCTGCATACAACTCATTGCCAGATGACTTAAAGCACGAAGCAAGATATCAGGGTTTTGTACGTAAATTAAAAAAAAAATATGTAAGAAAATAGTGTAAATAATGTTTATAATATACTAAGTATATAGAGCTGTTGCATGTGCCACTCTATTGATTTGAGTTAATATATAAATATATAGTGTAAATTTAAATTATTGTAAATAGAATACCTGTTTATTTTTTTTTATTTAAGTTCTCAATACCAGTGTTTGATATATACACTGTTTAGAGAAAGAAAAAACTATGTTGAATTATATGAACTTTAT